GCATCTGCCTAAAAGTATTTCTCACCCCAAGATCTCAATCTGTACTGACCCCGAGTTAGCTCAAGCCTTAGCCCCCAACTCCAGGAAAAGGAAAACAGTCTTATCATCTGTACTGTTAGGGGCTGGCACTGCTGCCAGGGTGGGAGCAGGAATAGGAATCAGATCCTCTGTGGGATTATACTGCAAACTATCCCAAGAATTATCATCAGACATGGATCAGATTACAGCCACATTACAACAACAAATTAATTTGTTATCTGGGGTCACTCTCTAGAATAGATGGCCCCTGGACCTCCTCACTGCAAAGAAAAGAGGAACTTCTGTGTTTATTATTTTTTTTTGGTACCGGGGATCAAACGCGGGTCCTTGCGCTTGCGCAGCAGGCGGCAAGACCACTGAGCTAAATCCCCAGCCTACTTCTGTGATTTTAAATGAAGAATGCTGTTATTTTGTTAATCAATCTGGAATACTTATGTCAGAAGCTAAAGATTTAAAAGAGCCCAACAGCTAAGGGACAACTCACAAGGAGGTCTTTGGAACCTTTTTGGGTTCAACTGGACCACGTGGCTCCTTCCCTTACTTGGGCTCCTTAGCTGCCTACTACTCTTACAGCTCTTTGGTCCCTGTTTGCCTAGACTACTAGCTGACTTCCTTCAAAATCGGGTCCGAGCCCTGACTTCTAGCAAAAACTTACTCAGGCTAACACCCCATAACCACAAGGGCATCAAAGAGGGGAAATGAGAAATCTTAAAATTTTAGGCCTTCAAGCCTTAAAAATTCTCACAGGCCCTTATTTTGTTCCTATTTACCCAGAAACAGGCACATCCACAACCCCTCCCAATGACTGATACTTTATAGAATCACAATGTAAGCCACTACTAAATATATGTGTATATCCTGTTAGCTTTAGTATTCACAATATGTATTCTGTTATATCCTCTCTGTTAGCCTTGAAAACGTATCCTATTAGCCTCAACCTTCACATTGTGTATCTTTTTTGTTTCACAATGTATATCTTGATATGTCCTCTTTGTTAGCCTGGAAAATGTATCTGGTTAGCCTCAATGTTCACAATATGTATCCTATTGTGTTATGCTATGTGCATGTCCTGTTTCTAAAGAAAGCCCCAACCTCAAAACAGTAATGTTATCACCCACCCCAACTGAAACTACTGTATAAAACTCAGCTATTTCTTTATTTCAGGGCCCAGGTCTTTACAAAGTACCTAGTTCTACTGGGCCAGCTGGTGAAATAAAACTTTTCTCCATCGCTTTTGAGTGGGTTTGTCTTTCCCGTTTGGATTTCCTACAACAATACTACAATTAAATAGTTTTGCAGAAGAAAAAATAGACCTAAGAAAGTCAAATAACCTTCCCAAGGTAATGCCTTTAGAAAGCAGTGAGCTAGGATTTGAATTCAGGTAGACTGACCTCTAAGTTATACTGTCAGATGGGGGTCCATTGACTATGAAAATCAAAGAACCACAAAACCTGGAAGACTATTCAAAAGCAAGAGGGAACTGCTAAGAAAATTCTGACAAGAGAAGGCCAGTTAAAACTCAAAACAGAAGGAGGCACAAGCTGGGCAGATGGCAAGTCTTTTATGAAACAGAAGAGCTAAAAGAATAGAATGGCACAATGCTTTTGGTGGGTATTTTGCTGAGAATCTGTGAAAATGTAAAAGGCACACCACTTTGACCTTGCACTTCTGGGATTCTACCACGAGAAATACTCACACAACTAGGTAGATACCTGTGCAAGGATATTTACTGCAACATTATTTATTATTTAATGGTTGTGGTCGGCTGAATGCTGAACCTGCAAAGGTTACGTGCGTGACAAAAGGGATGTTGGATATTTGTTACAACAAGGATTTGGAGATGAGGAGAGTATTGTGGATTATCATCAAGGTGGATCCAACATGATCACAAAGGCCCTTGTAAGCAGAACCAGGAGGAATCTGGCATGTGAGGAGAAGGCGAAATGATGACAAGCAGGGGCTGACGGACATGCTCCAAAGACGGAGGAAAGGGCCACGGGCCCAAGAAAATGAGGCAGCTCCTGGACTGTGCAAAGGACAAGAAAACAATTTCCCCCCTCAGTCTCCAGAAACACCTAGCCTTGCTGACAACTGAAGCTTAAGCCAGTCAAAGTAATTTCAGGCCTCTATCTTACACAACTATAAGAGAGAGAAATCTATGTTGTTTCAAGCTATTGAACTTGTGATAAATTGTTACAGCAGCAAAAGGAAACTAATACAATGGTGAGAAATTAAGACAACCTACATGTCTATCAAGAAGTGACTAGAGAAGCCTTAATTCCATGAAATGCTGGGCAGCCTTTAAATAGAGTGAGGTAGCCAGGGATTTAGCTCAGTGGTTATACCGCCTATCCCAAAAGCACAAGGACCTAAGTTCGATCCCCGGTACAAAAATAAATATATAGATAGATAGACAGAGAGAGAGAGAGATAGAATGTGGTAAATTTGTATATCTGATATTGGAATTTGATTTTAATGTTATTGATTCGTATGAAAAAAGTAAGCTACAAGACAAGCTCTATTTGTTCAAAAATTCTGTACACACACACACACCACAGTACACACAATAAAATATCGGGAAGAATACAAGATATTGCCCAGACTATTCTTTGATATTTGTGCAGAAAAGTAGAAAAACGACCTTTCATTTATTCCCTCCCTCCCTCCCTCTTTCTTTTTTGCTTCCTGTGATAGACTGAATCTAATAGTGCTCTACCACTGATCTAGATCCCTAGCCCTTTGTAATTTTTTGTTTTGAGCCAGGGTCTCACTAAGTTGCCCAGGCTGGCCTCAAACTTGCAATCCTCCTGCCTCAGCCTCCCAAGTAGCTGAGATTTCAGGCATGTGCCAATGCAAGGCTTTTATTCATTTCTTTAAATCTTGCCGCTGGGCTTACTTTTGTCCGCTTTGTGTGTGTGTGTGGTCCTTTCTTTTGAATTGTTTTATTATTTATTTATTTTGCAGTGCTAGGCATCACACCCAGGGCCTCACACATTTAAACATGTGATCTAACACTGAGCTTTACCTTCTGCCCTTGAATTCGTTTAGATTCCACATTCGTTTATATATCGACTTTTTAGTTAGAACTCTTTGCATATTTAGGGGTTGCTCTGAGAATTATATCAACTCTTGGTTATACCTAGTCTATTTAAAATAAATATATCTTTTCATACAGAAGGTAAGAACCTTGCAAGTATATAGGACACCACTACCTCTTTTCATGCTATAGTTGCTAAAAAGACTTTCCAAGTTCAAGGAGCTGATCGGACTCACCAGACTTCAGGGAATATACTCATGTGAGGCTTTTACTTAAAGGCCAAGAGTTGCGGTGCAGCCAGAGAGTGCGGGGAAGCCTGGAGAGGCTGGGAGACACAGCTTCCCTTAACTGCACACACAGACTCCTGTCCTGCCTCTCTCAGGGGGACTGCAGGCCTGCCTCTCTGGGTCTGCTTGGTGGTGAGGGAGCTCAAAGGAGGAACTGTCAGCAGGAGCCTTTTGTGCAATTAAGCAGGGTTGTCAAACAATGTAGGCCAGTTGCAAACCATCAGTAAAAAGGTTTCCTGGGGTAGCCAGTTTGATTTTAAACACATATGCTGCCCTTATCTTGTTTGGCCATAAGTCAAAAACCAGACATCCAAGCATCTCCAGAGATAGGGAAATAACTTGCCCAAGGTCACATCCCTGGCTTGCATTTGAGCCCTTGAAGTCTAGCTCCAGAGTCCGTGTTTTGTACCACTCTCTTTTGGAAAAGCAACCACAAAAAAGAGGCTCTGGGGTGTGGTGGAATCCACCATCCACAGAATGGGGCAATGAGGAAGGGAGCTGATGCCAGGGGAAGGGTGGGAATGCCACATGATAAGACAGCCCTCAGGCCAACAAAGAGGACACTGGCCGGTACTGCATCACAGCACTACCAGGCAGAGGAAGACCCAGCCCTGCCTCCCTAGTCCAAGCCTCTCAGCCCAAGCCAGGCTGGGCCCATTCTGGGACACGCTTGGTCTTCTCTAACTACCAGTATCAGTCTTGTCCTTCAATATCAATTGCAAATCCTTCTACAATATTTTCCTTGAGTCACTTTACACATCTAATCATGCTTCCTAAAATCAGGACCACAAACTACTTGAAGAGAGCAATAACATCCTTCCTCTGTATCCCCAGTGTACTGCCAGAATCCTGTACATCCTGCTCAATAAATTTTTGTGGAAGAAGCCTTCTGTCCTTCCTTGTCTTTGCCCCAACTATGACTAACTCCTCCGTGAAGACAGACTGGTCTACGCGCCTGTACTTTTCACTGACAGGAAGTGTATATTCTGATTCTGATCACAGGGGCCGGGCTCAGCGGTTCCGCTGCCTGCCTTGCAAGCGCAAGGTCCCGAGTTCAATCCCTGGTACCAAAAAAAAGGGAACTGATCCAGATTCTGAACATGAAATGCACTGGGGTGAATGAAGAGTGACTCAGAGCCAGGCACAGTGGCATGCGTCTATAATCCTAGCTACTCTGAGGTTAAGGCAGAGGGATCGTAAGTTGAAGGTTAGCCTAGGAAACTTAGCAAGATGCTATCTCAAAAAAATCTTTTAAAAAGAGCTGGGGCGGGGGGGATGGGGACTTAGCTCAGTGGTTTCGCTGCCTGCTGCGCAAGCACAAGGACCAGAGTTCAATCCTTGGGACAAAAAAAAAAAAAGAACTGGGGTTGTGATTCAGTGGTAAAGCACTTGCTCAGCATTCGAAAATCCCTAAGTTCAAGTCCCAGAATCAAAGAAAAGAAAAAAGATTGACCTGGAGACAAAGAGGCAGATTCCTTAGCAACCCCTTGATAAGCCCAGTTTTCTCAGAAAAACTTTCAAGGTTCTGGATTCTCCATGGTTTTCACTGGGTAGAAAAATACCTGAACAAAATATGTAAATGTGTTCACATCTCTGAACCCAGATGGCAATTCATAAAAAAGCTAAACTTTACTTACCGTAACCTGAGCAGGCAGCACATCCATAGCCATCCCTTCCTTCTCAGTTTCCTCGTCAAAGGAGAACACCATGCTGACAAAGCAGGTCTGCAAAGGAAAAAGTGTCATGAGGAACTCTGTCGTCAGGGATGCTTGGAGAGAGTCCAGCTGCCTGTAACATCCACCTGGTCTCAGCAAAGGCACCCTGCACACAGGAGGCAAACCACGTGGGATGGACAGTGACCAAGCCAATTTGCTAGTCTCTGTCCCTTCCCTGTATCAACCAGACTTCGAATATCTGTAAATTAATATCCACCTAAGGGCCTGTGGCTGCCTCTAAGAAACTGTGACCCCACCACAGACATTCAGGGTCCTTGATAGGTTTAAACCATACATTCTAACAGTCACAGGGAACTTGGATTTCCTAGGGCTGGCACTTTCAAACAGAGCTAGCTGATCCTAAGCCTGGATCCCTGCTTCTCCCTTGTCCTTCCCGTGATAATAATAATGATACCTGCCCACACTTCCCTCCTCTCTCTGGCTGGTGAGAGACCCAGTGCTTGTCCTCAGTGGCCATTTATGGAATGCCGGGTCCTCCTTGAGAACAGTGAGGGGAACACATTGCATAAACTTTCTCAGCTTCTCTCACACCCTGCGTCTGGCAGTACCACACGTGCCCAAGGTAACATGATCAAAACACTGAACCCAGCCCAAGCTCACTGCCCCTCTTGAACACTGACCCTGCAAGTGCCACATGTTACTGCATTCTCAGCCCCACACAGCCCTTCTGTCCCCACACAGGCAAATCAGTTAGGAGTGGTAGAATCCCACCTGCTCTGTCAGTAAGCTGAGAGTGCCTGGAGCAGCCAGGCAAACGTCACTAAGTGCAATGGGCTCCTCTCACCCATTCTGGAAGGAGAGCACAACATACTGAACATGCTATGCAATGGAACCTCAGCCAATCAGAGAAGAGCTGTTGTGGAAGTAATCATAGTAACTCGATATGCAGCCTCCACACCAGGCATCTTGAGTGCTTTTTATGCGTTATTTTAAATCTTCACAGTAACTCTAGAAAGTGAATACAGTTGTCCCTCTGTATCTGTGGATTCTGTATCCATGGATCTAACCTTGGATCTAAAAAAAAAAAAAACCTACCTGTATTGAACATGTACAGATTTTAGTTTCTTGCACTATTCTTCACACAATACAGCATAACAACTACACATAGTATTTACATTGAATTAGATATAAGTAGCCTAGAGATGACCTAAAGTATATCACAGGATGCACAGATGATGAGAATCTGAAGATTTTAGCACCCTGAGGTGTGGGGGCTGGGCCATTTCCACAGGGGATGGCTACTGCTCCCACATTTTACAGTGTGAGGGAGACTGGGAAATAATGATTGGCGACCTGCCCAGAGACACACAAAAGGGTAAGTAGCACAGGCAAGAAGAGAATCTTCTTTTCAGCCCAAGGCTGCAGTCAAATTTTGGCAAATTCTCTGTCCACTCTGTGACTCAATTTCTCGATCTGTAAAATGGGATCAGTATAGGGCTTACCCTCAGGCATTATGTGTTATGACATATACCAACTCCTGATGAATGTAACCATTATGTACTGCAAACACATACTAATAAAAATTAAAATTTCAAAAACCAAAAAATTTATAGCGGCACAGTTTGTAATAGCTAAAACTTGGAAACAGCCCAAATGCCCATCAACTGGAAACTGGATAAAGAAGATGTGGTTTTCTATAAAATGGAGTACTACTCAGCCAAAGAATGAGAAATTAGAGACATTTATAGCTAAATGTATGCATGAGGCCATCCTCTTAAGTGAAATAAATAGGACACACGTGTAAATACCGAAGAGTTTCTCTGGTGTGAGAAACTGAAAGTGTAAATAAGGACTAAAATGTATAATAGATAATGTGAAATAGGAAGAAAAAGGGCAAAGGAGAAGGGAAGGGGAGACTGCTGCTGGCCCATCTGGTGTCTGTCTGCTTTTTTTCTTTTGGTACGGGGATCAAACTCAGAACCTTGACCTTGAGAGGCAGGTGGCACCACTGAGCTAAATCCCGGCCCTTGAGGCGATATTCTTAAGTGAAATAAATAGGACACACTTGTGTAAATTACCTTATAGTTTCTCTGGTGTGAGAAACTGAAAGTGTAAATAAGGATTAAAATGTATAATAGATCACGTGAAACAGGAAGAAAAGGTCTAAAAGGGAAGAGAAAGTGGGAGGAGTAGGGGAACGGAAAGAAGGGAAAGGGAAAAATATGAGAAATGTAAACAAAGCCTTTGTAAATAGGGAGGGGTGGAGGGGCTGAAGGGAGGGCAGGGGAAGGCGTAAAAATAAGAACCAAGATATAGCACGTAAAGGTGCAAATTCCCAACGATGAATGCCACCATACTGTATACCTAAAATGTACCAATAAGCATAATGAAAAGCAATGTGTTAATTTAAGTAGCACGCTGGACTGACGCCCGACACACGGACGTGCTTTGCAGGCGTTAACACTGTTTAGGGTTCGTCTCGCTAAGAAGCCCATAAGGCCGGAGCGGAGCGGAGCGGACCCCGACGGTCCCCGGGGCCGTCTCCGGCTGGGGGTCCCCCGCCCCGGGCCCTCAGATGCCGGCCGCGAGCAGAGCCCCGCGCCCCGAGCTCGGCCTGTCCGCCCGCCCGCGCGCGCCCCGCGAGACCCCGCGCCGTCCACTCACACGGAGAGGCGCCGGCCCCCACCGCGGCCCTCAAGAGCTGGGGGTGAGCTTCTCAGCCAGGTCCACGTTCCCCAGGAGCCACCAGAAAGCCCGCCAGCGGCCCCGCGCTCCGCGAGGCGTAGAACTACGGCTCCCGGCATGCCTCGGGCCGCGCCCACTGCGCTTCCCACAGGGCGCCGCGCGAGGCCACTTCCGGGAAGTGGACGGCCTCTCCTCGCGGAAACCGGAAGCGAGCGGGCGCGGGCGGGGGCGCGGGCGGGGGCGCGGGCGGGGGCGCGGGCGGGGGCGCGGGCGGGGCGATGGGCCGAGCTCATCCCTGGCGGGGCTGCCTTAGGGGTCTGCAGGTAGCTGCGGGCGCGCTGTGCAGGCACAACGTTGTGACAAAACTAACCTGATTCGATGTCTTTATTTGTAATTATTTTAGTATATACGATGAAGATTCCATACGCATATGTACAGTTGAAGGATAGCCTAATACACATCCAACACTTGGCTCACAAAAAAGACAGAAACTTCATCAGAATTTTGGAAGATTTCACCACAGCGCTCTCCAAGGCATCTTCCTGAAATGTTTTTGGCATTTCCTTATTATGATGCCTACATGTAATGTACGAAAATTCTCTCGTTCTTGGTGTGTACACTATGATCCCCGTTCTGCTGTACTGAGAATAACAATAAGCTGAAGAGTCGAAGTGTAGGGTCAGGGGTCTGTAGAGAGGGAAAAAAATAGAACGGCGGCCTCATCAGATCTTCTAGCTAATCCTGACTGGACGGATTTAAAAACAAACTTTACTAGAGAAATTCCCCTGGGAGCAGGTCAAGGACAGGTAGAGAGAAAAACCAGATAAAGAGAGGCACCAAATGCCCTTGGAACTTCTGGCTATTCCTAAATTATATTCCTTAAAACAAACGTGTTTCCCTGAGGTCTGGGTGGCATTCTAGCAAAGTACTGAACAGGAAGACAGGGCCATGGGCACCCGTGATTCACGGCTGATTGAACAGAAGCACACGTGGGCCGGGACTTGATGCTGGCGTCTGTATGGGGGCAGTCTTCTGTGAGGAGCCCCTCAATCTCTGGAGTCGGACACTGACTTCAGAAAGTTAGTGTCAGAACTGAACTAAGCGTTAGTGTTTGGAGAACTGAGGAGTTGGTGGTTGTGTTGGATGTGTCCAAAACATCCTGAACGCCAAATACAAAAGGGGTCACAGGACTTTCAGTTGGATATGTAAAATGCTTGGAAGTCATCGCTCCAATTACAACAAGAAAAAAGCTGAACAAACGGAAAATCAGTAACTCTTCTTAGATGTACCAGAGAACTGAGGTCTCAGAGTAAATCAGAGCCCCCAAATTGGGGAGACATATGGGCTGATTCAGAGAATCGTAGCTTATTGGGACAGAAACAGAAGTGCAGAGCTCTGCTGCAGAAGCCAGTGCCAGTTTGAACACTAAATCTGTAGTCAACTGCTGAAAGTTCAGTGTGGACGAACCTGAGAGTTAGAAACTCCAGGAAGACCCCATTCGTAAGCAGCCTCCACACTTCAGTAATTTTATCTCAGCGAAAGCTACTTGTGTCTGAGTGAAGTTCAAGAGAAAAATTCTCGGCTTCCGGCAGAGGGAGAGGTGAATACCATTTTGAAATATTCTGTTCTTAGTATAAGTCCTCAAAATTTTTTTTACCAGAGCCAGTTGACCTGGAGTAAGGGAGTAACTCCAGGCTCCACTAGCCTTGCTGCCTCAGTTACAGGGAGGGGAAGATGAGAAGCTCCTGTGAAGGTCAGCCCAGGAGCACTGGCTCCCCTGAAGTGGGAGACCTACTCCTAGGGGTACAGGATGCTTCCCCTCCCCTAACACCTGTTGATCAATTCAAGCTCTGAGACTGTAAAAGAAAAGGAATGGGGGGGGGGGCGTGTCTTAGGAATTATAATTCTGGAGAGGCAGATTCAGCACTGTTCTGAAGGAGATGAAGTGGGAACTTACATAAATAAGCAAGCAGTGCTGAGTCACTGCACAAACAGTAAAAATCCTTTAGTAGAAAATTTCTCCTGAGGTTGAGAAGAAATAGAGTAAATGATGGAGTACATGACTGATTAAAGGAAGAGAATGTAAATGTAAAATGTTCCTGAAACAAGAGTGTAATAACCTCCTTCCCCTTGAGTCTGGGGCTGCGATGCAGTGACCTGTCTGCGCCAGATGTCTGCAGCCAAGGGGAGCCGAAAGTTCACTTGCTCAGGTAACAGCTTGAGATACACAAGTTCCAGGCCCCATTTGAGTCTCTAGAGAAACTCTAGGACAACAGGAAGATAAAAACAAAGACACTAGATGAGTTTTCACCTCTGACACACACCCAGATAGAGTACACACAGCCTAATTCCTAGCCAAATAA